CTATTTAAATAGAGCGAATTTATTTTCGTCAAAGACTGAAGACAAAACATCACTGAGAACTCCTCCAAACGTACACTTCCCACAGCTTCCATCTCTCCCCATTTGTTGTGCCCAACATAGGCACAGAGAGAGGATAAGGATGGCACGCACCCGTGGAATGTGGTATGGAGTGGGAAGAACTACGGTGCTAGTTAGCAGACATGACGGGGCTCTTTTTCCAGAGTCTTATGCTAATTTGAAGTGATGAATGGACCGTGACAGCCAGGCTATGTATGGTTCCAGGGCAGAGACTGGGAAGAGGCGGTTTTCTGATGAGTGAATCTGAGCAGGGAGCTAAGAGACCTTGTGGATACAGCAGAAAGAGTGTTGGACTAGGATTCTGGAGACTGTTTTCTTTGGAAAAAAAAAGAAAAATTGATAACCGATTGTCACATGATGAAACCAGCTTCTTGTTGGATATGAGGTTGCCTTCCAACTCAAATTCAGTGATTCTATGATCATTGCCAGCTGACAAGGCTTTGGCTGAGTTGAAAAACTAGGACTTTGTTAATGTGTTTGGTTTATTTGTTTATCTTAATTCCCGGGGTTTTAATCTCATGTTTCTGTGTTCCTGACTGTGTGCAGTCAGCCACTGAAGTTGATACAGAAAAGAGAGGATGCACACTGTTCTGTCCTGTGGTAAGTCCCCAAGTCCCAACATGTCCCACTGGAAGCACTGCTGGAGTTCCGAGTTGCTTCAGAGGCACATCCCTGATAACACAGGACTTTGTCCCTCCATGCCCCACAGCACTTCCCAGACACTCCAGCAGATGCAACTCCAGAACTTTTTGATAATACTCTTCACACACACAGCATATTAATTTCTAGTATTATAAACATTAGATTATAATACATTGTTCTATTTGTCTTTTCAGTCCCCATGTCCCAGATTTAAGGGCACAATGAAAATCTTGTTTTTTGCATTCAACTTCCTGCTATGAATGTTACTTTAACTTCTGATTGACTCCTGGCTGATATATTCTAAGTAGCCAATGCAGGAATTCTCAGCAATACCCCAATGCATGATCATTTACTCTTGTCATTTTCCTTCATGAAATCAGGTTGTAGTCCAGATGCAGAGTGAGGCTCCCCAGCTCCCTAGGTTCTAGAAAATGCATCTGTTGGTTTACATCTGAGTTGTGTCTACTTGAGAGTCTTCTGCAAGCACTTTGCATCCAGATGCACAAGTCCCTAACCACTCAGATCAGAATCTCTCCTGCTTTGTAAAGGTTTCATCCTCCTTTCATCTCCATTTCTGTGTTTAACCATCTATCTTTCCAAGTCTTCAAACATGACTTCAGAAAGAAAAATCACTTATTTAATATCTGGCCCTTAGTATTTGCTTCTTCTAGCTAAAATCTGTTTTCCCCCAAACAGACTGTAAGCTTCCTCTTGCTGTCAGGACTGTGACTTTTTCCATTTGGACCCCAACACTTTGAGCAGTCCTGACATAGAGTAATACATTAGGCTTGTTCCAAGAGTAGAATGAATAACAGAACATCAGTTTTCTCTTAATGGACACTGTGTGAATGAATACAATTAATTTTTCTACAATGGCTTCATTTTCTCTCTTAGTATTATTGAGACCGATTTCTAAATTATTCCCAGAATAGAAAAAGGCCACTTATGAAAAAAAATACTTAAGTTCTGAATCATAAAATATTTACACATCCCAGTCATATGTGCATCTTTTTAAAGGATGCAGCCCTGTATGATTGATTCACATTTATGTTGTCTCCATTTTCCACTCCTTTTGTATATGGGCAATTCTTGTTTTATTTATTAGCTCTGACCACCTCCTGCCTTCAGTAGTCCAAATGCAAGAAGGAATACATCTCTGTATCATTTTGTTCAGATTTTATCCCTGGCTTGACTATAGAACACCTGCTGACCAAAGATGCAGATCCTTGGGTAGACAGACAGTAGCAATGTTGGATGACAAAATCAGGTCCCCAAATTCCGGGATTCATGGGACTCTAGGCAGAACTAAGGATGAAGGCAAAAATGCAAAATAATAATTCCAGTGCAAGGTACAAAATGTGGAAGATGACAGCACAGGTGACAAAGCTTGTTCATTCTAGCACTGTTGCCTTGGGTTGTTTTTAGAAAAAATTTCTTCAACCTCAAACTCTGTCTACAATATGGGAATAATTCATTCAAATATGTATAGGTGTTATGAGCCAGGATGCATACTAAGCACTTGGGGGCACAATACATTCTGGAAGAGGAGACAACACATTAGCAAGTGGTGTATGCTTTGACAAAAGTGCTCAATAAAGCACTTACAATAGTACCTCCAGTTCTGGAAGCTGGAAGGTGAAAACAACCCTAATGTTCAACAACTGATTAACGGATAAAAATGTAGTACAACCATAAAATGGATTATTATTTGGGTATAGAAATGAATGAAATACTGATGCATGCTATAACTTGGGTGAACCTTGAGGACGTTATGCTAAGTAAAAACAGACAGACGCAAAAGTTTACATACTGGATGATTCCATCTATAGGAAGCATCCAGACTATAGAACACCTGCTGACCAAAGATGCAGATCCTTGGGTAGACAGACATGATGGATGGAGAATCATACTGGATGATTCCATCTATAGGAAGCATCCAGACTGGGCAAATCCACAGGGACAGAAAGCAGACTAGTGGTTGCCAGGGGCTAGGAATAGGAGATGGGGAATGACTGCTCGCTGGGTATGGGGTTTCCTTTTGGGATGAAAACATCTGAAATAGTGGTGACCTTATGCAAAACTGTGAATGCATTAAACGTCCTTAATGGGTAATGTTGTCATTAATGGTGCTCTACCTGGCATAATATAAGTAGTACCTGGTATAATGTAGGCCTTCAATATTATGTATTACTTTATAGCAAAACGAACAAAAATCACTCAAATACGAAATCACCTAGAGTAATAAATTATTAAATATATTTTAAATTACCAGAATGCTATGAGGCTTTTGGAGAATGAACATGATCTATAAGTACACATGGAAAGATGTCTAAGATGTAGTTAGTTAAAAAAAAAAAAAGACCTAGATAAGCATATATTTGGTATGCTTTGTTAAAATACTCACGCCCAGACACATACGTTTTTATATAAGTGCAGTAAACAATGGGATGGTGAGTAAAAGTGAAATTAGTGGTTACCTCTGGGGTGAGGAGAGTGAGGAGCGCAGGGAATGGCTTACTTTCTTGTATACATTTTGAAGTTTTTAGATGAGCTTAGAGTTAAGTGTGTGACAAGGCAGGCAAAAAAGTCCTAATATGGCATTATAAGAAATACAGAATAACAAGGGAAGTAATTACCAGCATCGAGAAAGAAACTTTATTGCTTCATGCTCCTGATGGAGAACCAAACTTGACTTGCCACTGTCTCCGTGCAAAAAGCCCTCAATGCCAGCGTGGCCTCTGCAGAAGGTCGGAGACACAGCCAGTTCCTGCTCTTCCCAAGGTGGGGACCCGCCACCCCACCGGTGCTCCACAAACGCTCGTTCAATGTTCCCGATGTCCCATGTGGAGGGGGCAAGGCATACAATGTTTTAAGCTTGTGTTCAAATTTCCTCCTTAACTTGTTACAGCAGGTCTTTAAGCATGAAATTAATACAGGAGCAGAAGACCACAGTAAGAAAATCCATTCACAAGTCTGAACTCTTAAAAAAAATCATTTTATTGATCCTTTACCATACAAAATTTATTCAAATTACACCCATTTGAAGTGGTAAGATCACAGCTAGAGAACAGGTTACCCTGTAACAAATCTATTTACAAAATCCATCATAAAAGCTTTTTTTTTACATTATATTACACATTTTCTTTTTCAAACTAGCATACAACACAAAGCTAAACTGATTAGTAGTTTGCCTTCTCCCAATTTTGGGAGAAATACTTCCTTTTGACAAAATCTTGTACCCCAGAGGAAAAGAAATCCCCACAATCGGACAATTACCACCCAACTCGCTCCACAAGGCGTCTTCCTGCAAACCCCTGCTCTCACGCACACGAGTTGTCATGCACACGCTGAGTTCTTCCTTCTTTTTCCTGAAAGCTAAAGCTTTAAATACTGCGGTTTTATTTACAGATCTACACTCAAAACAAAAATGAAACAAGAACCACAACAAAACCCAAAATATAACACTCTTAAAAAATTACAAACCAGCTAGAAAATATTCTGGCAGTGTTTACAAATTAATTGCTATCTCTGTACAAAATTGCTAGATAATGAAAATGTGAGTAGACTACATACCAACTTAAATAGAACCATTGCTATGCACAAGTCTGTACATATAAACACACACCTTAACACTGTTTGACAGCTCATGTGTTGCCCTTTATACAGTTTATTTTCTAAGGCTCACGCAGTCATAATTTGCACACTTGTAACTTATAGCCATTTCATGTGTGAGCTTTAATAGCAGCAACTCAATGGTACCAGGAAACCGGCATACTTTGACTTAAAGTAACACAAATACTGGACAACTAACCCACTTTGTGTGCCGGATACTGTGTCAGAAAGAAAAGGACTGACGCGAACAGAATACAGCATGGACATTTAATTAATGTGCACCAGTTAAGCCCATTAACTGGAGATATCTTATGCATGAAGGAACTTTTAAGACTTATTAGTATTCCTTTCATTAAAAAAAATAAATACGGCATTATATTACGAAAGGTTTAACGAGAAATTCAACAAAACACAGAACAACTTAGCCAGGTGAGCTCAGTCTTCAGACTTTGGGAAAAAGTCAGCTCCGTGCAGCTGGCAAAGAGAATCACACAAAGCTGGAAGCAGAGGCAGCTAACCAGATGAGATAAATACGGGAAAATGGGGAAAAGCTTGGCATAAACGGTTTCCCATACAGGAAAAAACCCCACAGTGCATTTCCAGTAGGCACTTGACACAAAGCTCTCCCTCCCTCCCTCCCTCCCTCCCTCCCCCACCCCAAAGCTTCATCTCGGACCACATGATATTTGTACCAAGTCCAGTGTGTGTGAGGGGAGGAGGCTGGGGATGGAGGCAGAAGAAAAAGGAGGGTAATCTGCACCTTTGTTTTTCTTCCCAAACACACACTCACACATACCTACACAAATCATTTAAAGTGCTGGTGTCATGGTTTTGACCCCACCACCACTTTGCATATTGTGGAAATCTACCTAGAGTTTGTGGTTTTGTGTTTTGTATTTTTCCTAAGGGATATTCTCAGTTCAATTATACACATGAATCGAGTGCCTACTATGTGCCTACCACTGCGCCAGGCACACAGCATTTCAATTTGTTTGTTTTTTTTTTATAAGACTCCCTCATTCCCGTTAGCATCCAAGGAATGGATTTGAGGTACTGTGTCACGTTCCTGGTGGGCAATGGCCATCTTCCCTAACCAATGGGAGAGCCTATCTTGGACATAACTGGTGGGATTTGCAGCTCACATGAAGCCTCCAACTTGGGATACCATTCCTGAAGAGTAAAGTGGGGAAACACCCTGGCATTCTATCACTTCATTTTCCACGTCCGCACTTCCCTTGGTCCAACTTAATCCTTCATAGAGGAAGGGGGAGGGGTTCTGGCCAGGGGTATGGCAGCCCCCCCCAAAGTGGGAGCTCCCTGTTCTCACCAGCTTGAGTAAATGCCACTGATAGGATGCTGCTCACACAATGGGATGTCTTTCTCCCTAGAGGCCTCTCCATCTGACCCCATCCTGAGAAGTGGTCTCCCTGAGTGCAGTGTAAGAGAGCCCTTTCCCGGGTCGTGGGGCCCGGGGAAGCCCAAGGACAGAGGGATCCACACCTGCTGCTCCTCGGGATTGCTATGTCATCTGACCTGGTTCTCCTTTCAAATGGGCCACCCATGTCAGCGAGCTCCAAGACCAACTCGCTCCAAGCTCTCCCTCCATGGAAGGAAGCCAGATGGGGCAATGCTTCTCGCAGAGGCTATTAAACCTTAGATCACAGGTTTACATGCTCTGATCAGAGAGGTTCTCCACCTCTGCTTAAATAATTTGAATTAGTAAAAACTTCTTGAAAGTAAACAATCGAAATGGTGATGGGTGCCACAGGAATGCTTAAATGGCAGCTAAAAAAAAAACAACAACAACTTTAAAACAATCCACAAAGAACTCTTAAGTAGGCATTTGCTAAAAATCAACTTTAAACTCACAAACACATTGGGGGCAGGGGAGTGGGAGTGGTTTATGGAGACAGGAAAATCCACAACAGCTTAGAGTGGCAGAACTTGACTATTCTTCTGTATCTGCAACAAGTATTTGAAAACAGGTTCTTCATCCGAAAGGCTGTGGAGGTTCCCTTGACCTTCTAGTGTGGGACACACAGTCCATAGCTTACACTGAATTATGACAGTAATTTAAATATTCCTAAGAAGAACTGAAGAAATTCATTTCATACTTTTGCATGACTTCAAGTTTACAGTTCCTGCAGTTCCATTCCATATTAGCAGACCCCAAAGACATGCATTCTGCAGAGAAGGCACGGCTTGAAATGCTATTAAGGAAGATTGCTGTATTCCAGTGGGCCAGGTGGCCAGACCCCATTCTACAGCCCATCCGTCAGGCACAGCAAGCCAATCCGGGAGGGAGGAAGGGTGGGAGGGAGGAAAAGTATGGGTGAGAGACACCTGATTGCACATTTTCTCACTTGCTGACTCATCCAGATTTTGGAGCCTGGGGAAAAGCAGGGTTTTCCCAAGGGAGCCTGCAACTGTGCGTTTAGACAATTTATTATTAAAAAACAAAAATCATTAAAATGTCAGCTTTGTTCTGAAGTTTGTAGTTTACTTCATGATACTATCTTGGAGGAAGAAGATAGGAAGGGACAACACTGCATGACAGGTGTTCTGGTTCCATAATAAAAAAATATTGGTTTATAAGGGGAGTTCACAAAGCATAATCAACTACACATAAAGTCTTCCACCAGTGGGAGCTTTTCCAAATCATAAGCATCAAAGAGATCACTGATGCCTTCTTCCTCCCCAAGACTTAGGAGATAGTCTTCTTGGAGCAGGGGAGGCAGCAAGTTCACAAATGGCCCTTCTAGGTTGGAAGGAATTTGGTCCTCAGTCTGCTGTAAAAGGTTGGTGGGGGAGGCCAAAGGAGAAAGGTTTGCCATAGAAATAGAGCAATCACTATGTCCTGAGTTGGTTGAAGCCAAGTCTGAATGGAAAACATTGGTGAAAACACAAAAATAAATTAGGAGAAAATAAAAATGATTTTTCTGTTAGAATATACAGGTTGTTGCTTTAAAAGCATTCACCCTCTGCTAATAGCAACTAGACAACATTATGATACAGTTTGCCTTAGGAAGTCTTGCTTTGTTCTGGCATATTCACTCATCCTTTAAAGTACCTGCTGTTAAACAAGAATGCAAAAACCTCCAAAGGTTAGAGGTTAACAGGTGAAAACACTTCTCTCCCATGTTAGTCATTATTTAAGGAAATATACATGGTGTAACAAAAGGAGGGTTACAGTTGTAAGTACTCAAAACATGGAATTTATCCTTGTATTATTACTTATTAATTACTGTATTATTTTCCATACAAACAACTGTAAACCTACTTTTGACCCCCTCATACATACTGTAAAGTGTGCTCCCTAGTAGAAACTCACTGCTTTTAACTTACTCTTTTTTGAACAATGGCTTATTAAAGATACCTCGAAAAAGTACAAATAACAAGACATATTCACTTTGAATATTTATGGGGAAAAACAGTCTTTTGTTTTACTATTTGACGTGCTGTACAGTGGTCCCATCTCATCTGAGGTTTTGCTTTCCTTGGTTTCAGAATTACCCATAGTCAACTACGGTCCAAAAATATCAAATGGAAGATTCCAGAAATAAACAATTCCTAAGTTTTAAGTTGCCACTGTTCTGAATAGGGTGACGAAATCTCGAGCTGTCCTGCTCCATCCTGCCCTGGATGTGAACCATCCCTTTATCCAGCATCTCCGCACTGCAGACGCTCCCTGCCCGCTAGTTACTTAGGAACCATCTCAGTTACTAGGTGGACTGGTGTGGTACCGCAGTGTGTGTTCAAATGATCCTCATCTTGCCTAAAGCTACCTCACAATGCCTTCATTCATCTTACTTTATCTTATCACGCAGGCACCGTTTCATCTCACATCATCACAAGAGGAATGGTGAGTACAGTACAGGATATTTGGAGACAGCCCATAGGCACATAACTTTTATTACAGTACACTAATTGTTCTATTTTATTAATAGTTGTAGTCAATCTCTTACTGTGCCTAATTTAAAAATTAAACCTTTATCATAGGTATGTATGTCTAGGGAAAAAACCAGTATATACAGCTGACCCTTGAAGAACACGAGTCCACGTAAACTCAGATTTTTTTCCCCAATAAATACTTGTACTATTGTCGATCAGCAGCTGGGAGTCCACAGGGGTCCTAGAACCAATCCCCCTTAGTTATCGAGGGACAACTTAAGTTTTGGGGGAGTCAACAGTTATATGTGGACTTGACTGTGTGTTCTGGGGGGGGGGCTCAGTGCCCCTAACCCTGTTGTTGTTCAAGGGTCTACTGTACGGGGTCGGCACTGCCCCCAGTCTCAGGCATCTACTGTAGGGCTTTACTCATTATTAAATCAGACCTATTCACTTAAATCATTGCGATTCTTGTTGCTATATTGGGAGATGGGGGAAAAACTAAATACACATCCCCAATCAGAAACTGAAAAAAAAAAAATTACAAATATCTTCCTTTGCTCTAGGGACAGTAGAGGAAGAATTATTTTGCTGGGGGCTTCTGCCAACATCCTTTCCCCATCACATTGAAGGGAGGGAGGGGAAATCAAGACAAAACTTCTTTGATAGAAGGCTTTTCTTTTACAAACTTTTTTCATTTCTCTCTCTAATGATCTCTGCGGTGTCATGCAAAGGTGTGTGGCTAAGTGTTGCTGATGATTCATTCAACCAGCTCCACTCCCACTTTGGCTGGTTTTCCAAACACAGCAAGGAAATGCTTTCTGCCAATAGCAAGAGCCTGAGGGACTCCATTAGCGGGTGGAGGAGTCATTAGCCTGAGACCATTATTTTATTCTGTAAACTACTCAGAATGCCTTTTTAAAAATGTTACCTTAATAACAATAATAACAGAAGATTCTGTGTCCTGCCTAGACTTGTGGTTCTGATATAGGATCCTCATAGTCACCTTCATTTCAAATACAGTTTCCAAATGATAAAAATGGAATTTTTACCTTTGGAAGTGGGTTTAGGAATATTCCCATTGTGGTCTTGGGTGTTTGTTTTCACTGGACTGTGTGTTTCAGTCTCTTCTGGACATAAGTAAACCTCAATGGGTCCTTGGGTGCTTGCCAAGTGTATTTGTAGGCTCTACGAACAGAAAAGAGTGAGAAGAGTTCAAAGCGAAATTTCTTTGAAAATGAAAGCTATAGTCATTTTCACCTAAAAATGTAAGGTAAGTGTAATTTTCGTAGTTCACTTTGCTTTTTTATAGGTAGTTTACCTTTATCGTTGATTGTCATCCTCTAGGGAACAGGTCAGCAAACTATAGCCCAAGGCCCAAACCCAGTCCACGAACTGATTTTGTATTGGGTTGGCCAAAAAGTTCGTTTGGTTTTTTTCTATAAGATGGCTCTCATAGCACTTAGTTGTCTTTAACTTTATTTGAAACAATTTTGTTAGACTGTATTGTGACAGCTGTGATATCAGCATGCTTTGAAAAAAAAACACATCAAAATGGGTGAATTTTTGTGTAGCCATTTTAATATTGAAGATGGAAGAATATAAGTAACATTTTTGGGCACATTATGCAAAATATTATGCTTATTATGCTTTATTATTTCAAGAAAGGTAAAAATGCAACTGAAGCACAAGAAAGATTTGTACAGTGTATGGAGAAGGTGCCGTGACTGATCGAACATGTCAAAAGTAGTTTGTGAAGTTTCATGCTGGAGAATTTTTGCTGGATGATGCACCACCGCTGGGTACACCAGTTGAAGTTGATAGTGATGAAATTCAGACATTAATTGAGAACAATCACATTATATCACACAGGAGATAGCCAACACACTCAAAATATCCAAATTAATAAGTTATTGGTGAAAATGTGTTTTTCATTTTACAGAAAAAATCTTACGGACTTTTTGGCCAACCCAATAAAGTTTTATTGGCACACAGTCATGTTTGTTCCCATTACTTATGCATTGCCCATGGCTGTTTTATTTCTCATGCTATAATGGCACAGTCATGCAGTTGAATAGTCTCAACAGAGACCATATGATTCACAAAGCCAAAAATATTTACTGTGTAGCCCTTAAAAAAAATTGCTGACCCCTGCCCTAAAGGAAGTGAATTATGCTCTCCAAATATATTCTTTTCTTTTGCAAACTATTAAAAGGTCCTTCTAGTATTCCAAATGCAGTATTTCCACATTATTATTCCTTTATGGAAGGGCATTTTTGTGTTGAACTTTAATAACCACTGGAACTGAGTTTAGTAAGAGAAGGCAGCACACTAATATTTAACATTCCGCTTCATCTAGGTCACAGAGCTATTATTATCACTTAAGGTGAACTCTACCTAGACGGGAGCTTGCAAATTTCACTCTTTTTATTTCCTGTGCATATTCTTTTCACTATGTTTCTTTACCTTAGCGTTAAAGTCTAGTTCTATTGTTATCAAAAATGTCTGAAATCAATCACGAAAATATGCCCTTACTTTCTTACAATATTCTAGCCTACCAAATAACCCAAAGTCCCATTTCAATCCTTAAAAGTAAACATAATATAAATGATAAATTCTTAAATGTGGTAAGTTAGGGAGATACTTTAAAACATTTGTATATCTATTTGTGGTGGGAACCAGAGTAATCAACATAAAATTCCCCAGAAGTTCAAATTGATTAGAAGCAACAAATTATGTAAAAAAGGAAGCACAGAAGGGATGGAACCGTATGCCACTTCAAGCTGAGCGCCCTGTTAATATTAACATTAGACTTTTGGGAGTTTCAGTTCATACTGAACTGGTGAAATGCTCCTAAAGTTAGGATTCAGTACAATAAATGGGGAAAGAACTTTCAAGTGTTTTGGAGGGTACAAACTTGAACCATGCATTGAATCAATGATTCTTTAACCTCCGGCATGCCACAAAGATCTCTGCAGATGAACAAAGACGTGTCGTCTCCTTACCTCTAATGGGTCAGGCACTTCAAGTCTTGTTTCTGGAGGGGCTTTCACAACTATGACAGTTTGGTCTTTAAGGCCACTAATTTTTCGGATATCTTGATATGTAACATAAGCTAACGTAATGAGTGTTAAGGAAGTCTTCCAACTGATTGACTCAGATGTAACCATTATGAGGAGATAACAAAGAGACGCATGGAGAATTCTTGAAATATTTTGAGTTTTTAAGACTATATCTGTCTTGCTTTCTAGATCTTTAATTATATGGGATCTCCCATGAATCTTGTTTTCTGGGTGATTCTAAACAAAAGAAATGTATAGTTTTTTCCTGCACATTTTAAAAAAGTCCATGGCTATCTAAAAAATTAAATACAGAAACAGAATAGGTCAAATAAATTACCAAAAGAAAACCAAAGCCTAATTTGGTCAGGGATTTTCAGACCAGATCCCGCTGGAACACAAGTATTCCATGAGCTCCAATGAAGTGCGCTGTCACTCAAATCAAATGATTGCAGACGGCAATTTATAGGAAAGAAGAAAAAGCTCTATTAAGTGTAATGTTTTGGAAATTGCAATAACTTTTATTTTCTACCTGATTATTAGAAAGTGCCAGCAGCCACCCAAATGAATGAATGAATTAGTAGCAAATAGTTTTATTAATGGGAGAATACAATATTGGTCAGGCAGGCAACATGTTTCCTTAAGTGTACCTAGGCTGGCTGTGATCATCTATTGTCTACTGGTAAGAATGTCAGTCTTTCTCTGTTAGAAAATTATCCTTTGTATGATATTATTAACTCTATCACTATTTCAGTGTTCACAAGGAGGAAAGCGGTTTCCAGATGGTCTGCAACATGCATGAATTTGAGAAACACTAATTTAGGAAAAGAGGGTAACATTATATTTCAGTACTCTGGGTAGTTACTTCTGAGCACTGAACACCTCTTTTAAGTGCGCTGGCAGCCAAACCTAAAAGGATATCATGAGAATATGGTACTATTCTGTGATAGAAATATTCATGCAAGCTTGCCTGAAGAGATAAGCTTTCACTGGGCACTAAGAGAGAACAGGCTGCATGGCTTTCTTATATAAGGGACATGGAGTAACACAATTAATGTACAATGTCTTTAGCCAGCATTTTTCTTTCATAAACCCACAAAAAATGCCTATGATGAAACAGCAAATCACAGCTCAATGAAGGCATTTCTACAGGTAATATAATGTGGCTAATAGACTCTGATCTAATATGTTGAATACAGAAATAGGACTTAGAGAGCCTGGAGGAAATAATGTCCCTTAGAATAGTAGCTTTTTATTAGAAATTGAAGGAAGCTAAGAACCTAGTCCTCAGGAAAACAAACACATCCACCCCAAATCTGCACACACATTTAAGGGCACTTATCTCCTTTAAGTTTCAATAGTTGAGACAACAGCCCACAGTGTTGAGCTTGACTGGACAGCTGAAGCAGGAGTCCAGGTTTTATGCGACCATTTACCTCATCAGGAGAGCCAACTGGTACCCTTCCAAAAGGCCTGACAGTTCTGAATTTTTACTGAGAACACTGGGGAGACTGATCAGGTACTTACATCACAGCCCACCGTCAAAAGCTATGTGACAAGAACTCATTAAAATAAAAACTCATCTACAATTACTCAACATGCTACAGGAAAGAAAATTTCAACACATTTGTGAACAAGCTGTACCAAATTCGGAACTGAATGGCAAATTGAAATAAGTTGTGCAAATATATTCTCTAATCTTAAAAAGTGCTTCCATTGTGGCTCCCTCCTGAATTTGCTTCTTGGGTTAGCAGCCCCCTGCAAGGAAGCTTTCATTTTCTGCAACAAAGGCCCCAAAGAAAGCTAATGTAGGTGACAATGTCATAAGCCACAAGCTGCCAATCATGTGTGACTGCACATCTTGCTGGGGCTCTAGACTAAACAACGACTCAAACAGCCCAACTGGGGCTATTCCTGTTTCTCCCCCTGTACACCCACTCTGCCCACCACTTGGGGCTGCACACTAGCACACCTCTGTCTCCATTCCATTCACCATCAGCTGACGAGGTTAAACTTTTGGTCAACAGGAAATGAATAATTGCAGTTTCAAAAAATGGCCCAAACTGGAAAATAAATGTCCCCATACCCTCTGAGGGAAAGCCTGTTAGAGAGGAGACACTAAAAGAAACTGGGAAGGACACATTTTACTTTCTCACAAAGGTAAATGTGGAACAATTAAGCTTGGAACTGCAAAGTTAGGGATGGGACAACTTAAAATATTGCTTTTGTCTTCAACTAATAACTCAGAATATTACAAGCTCTTCTTGCCAAAACAATGAAGTATTCTCCCTAAGTGTTTTGTCTTAAGTGGCATGATGAACAGCAGGTTGTCCTGAGATGGTCAACAGACTGTCAGCCTACTGAGAACAGGAACATGGTTTTTATGTCTTTATTTCCAAGCACTAATGTTTGCAGATGAGCGAATATACTGAGATTTCTCAGGCCTTGCAGTGCTTCTGAAATCAATTTTTAGTGTTGTGAATCAGCATAGTGCTCTTTAAAAGTTATAGAATAATTTTTTATACTCTCTGGATTTTTCTCAACTGTAGCTCAATCAGACAGATTCAACAAATTCCAATTGCTCCAATATCTGATGAAAAGAAAACAGAATGTGAGAACCCCAACAGTGACAGCTAACACCCACCCAAAGTCTGGAAAGCCAAAGATGAATCTGCAGAATGTTGTCATTAATATTAATACTGACACCACACATATCTTATAATAGTGTTGCCTTACGCTATGAGTGTTTCCATATGCGCCCAACCACACATGAATAAAATGACTTAAAAAACAGGTCTTTCCTTGCTATAAAATAGATATAACAGGTGATTATCCTTCCATAAACACTGACTTTTAATGTAAAAATAAGTGGATTCAGACATATGCACACACACATGCATACAACATAGACACGTGAACATGAAACCAGAGTAAAATTCTACCTTGTGCATGCATCAAAGATTGTCAGTTCTGGAAATAACCTAGAAGACACTAACCCCCGATGACCAGGTGGCACAAAGGATATCTTTGATTCTCTGAATCCTCGGTTAACAGTTTGAGGTCCAGGGTGCAGCTTTGGATCAGTTCATCTAATTTCTTCTCTTCCTGACTGAGCTCGGTCACTTCCTTTGACAGGCCTTGACACTGGGCCAGCATGCCCCCATCCTCAGACAGACTGCAGCCCCTAGAAACCCAAACACAGACTCTTCATGGCTACTGGAGAGGCCGAAGGGAGGAGGAAAACGAACAATTGAGGGAGGGCAGGGAGAAACGATCCTTTGGGTAAACGCCCCCTCTTGATATAGGAGGTCACATTGTTTGTTTGCCAAGTGTTAAAATTAGAACATTTACACATATTTTTTAATATACTCAGTCCTTTACTTTTCACACCATAGAAATTAAGTGAAAAAATCCTGCTATTTTCAGGGTTCTTTCCTACAGAGGAGGCCTGTTTATTCAGAAGGCTCAAATTTGAAGGGCAAAGCGCCTTCCTGCCACATGCCTCCCGGGGGGAGAAGGCAGATAGGAAAACAGAGAAAAGTGGAAAAACTGAAAGAAAGACAGAATGATTGAAAATTCAACAAAACATCATCCCAAAAGCACGAAAGGCCTAGGTAATTTCTGAGGGTCTCACACCAACAACTGACGAGGGAAAGGAGGGCACGGAAACAGATCCAGGTGCGGTACCCAACGACACAGAACTCCTAGCGGGCCTCTCCCAGACCACAGGCCACACCATCTTCTCGGGTCTGGAGTAGTATTTTTTCAACCCGCACAACATACTTATTCCTTCCAATACACTTTAGTAGTTCCTTCTAAAATACTGCCTGCTCAGGTGCTTGTTCATAATTCACAAATTTAACCACACATGCGGGTATATAGGTGATAAGCATTATCATCTCTGCTTCCTAGAAAGAACTGAGGCATTTAACTCTTGTGTTCATTTATTCGGAAAGTGAGTTAGTCTGCTATTAGAAGCATGGATAAAGATATTTGGTGACTGTGGACTTACACAGATGTGTCGATACACAGCCACAGTTAATTTCCAAATTCCTATTGGAGTTAAGACATGTGCAAGCGTCCCTGAGATTACACACATGGACCTCATGGTCACAAGTGAACAGCACTCTACTTCACATCTGCAGGACCTAATCAATCCCAGGGTCCCTTCGCTTGAAGCTAATGGAATACAAACCCTTTTATCTCTGACACTATCAAAGTAAGTCTCTTCCTAAAGAGACTTTGAACCTGTGGCTAAGGAGTTGAGGAAGGAAGAGAGAAGGAGACTGAAGAAAAGAGTAGGAGAGTTAAGAAATCAAGCACAGGTATGAATATAACAGTTGGGACTGGGCGGAAGCACAATCAATGTTTGAATGGACCCCATCTGATCAGGGGATGGGGCGGGTGCGAGACTCATACTCACATCCATTGCACGTTGTTTTTAGACTTCTTCTTAATCAGATGGATGCCTTCCAGGACGTTGGTGATATCATAAATCCTTCTCTTTTGCACTTTCAGCACCTCTGCTGCCTTGTTCAAATCCAAGACCCCATCAGGTGACTGGCTCAGCAGCTGAATGAACTTCTTGGTGAGTAGACCAAGGGATGTATCATACCGTGTTTTTTCTGAGGGAGATTTTGGAGCTTAAAGAAAAACAAAAACCGAGCGGTGGGGAATAGGGGGAAAGGTAAAGAAATGAAGGGTTTCTTTGCAGTTGAGCAAGCCCTCTTTCCCACTGCAGCCCGAGTATTAGTACTGGAAGCAAGCTGTTGTTGCTGTTGTTTTTGTGAAGTTACAGAGAAAGCTGTGAAATTGCTTTATTAAGGAAGAGACAGTACAAATTCCTGTTTGCTTTTACTATAAGTTTCTCAGTAGTTTCTACTTTGGCTTACCCTATTCCCTGGGGCTAGTGAAGTATCTCACACATAGCAGGTGCTCAAAAATGTCTGTTGAATGAATGAAAAAGTGCTGTAGTCCCACGGGATCCACAAGTGAGGAACCTAACCTGATGGGCCAGGTGACAAATCTCTGCAGCATCTTGTGACGGGGTGCAGACAGACCCACTTCAACTGGCCATTCAGGCTCCAGTATGCGTGTGTGTGTATAACTCACTCAGCAATATTTCAAATCATGCTGTATTTGGATGAAGACTCTGGAATCTGGAAGAGTCTTTTAATCAAATCTCCCATTCCTCTTGAATGAAATTTCTTACTTAGTATTGTATCTATTCTCTGATAGGTCACAGGTCAAAGGTTTAATTTAGCAGTACATATAATCTGTGGATTGCCTAATTCATAAACTACAAGGAAGGGGAGAGAGAGAGAGAGAGAACAAAGTTCTTAGCCTTTACATTAAATGCTTGAGATGTAAAGGACTGACTATTTAGCCACCTCCCACCTACTTTTCTCTCTCCCAGGAGAAATGATGATTGTATCAGTGAAAGGGAAACGAGCTGCAATTCACTGGTCTCAGTCAATTCTTATGCTGCCTCACGTCGAGCTAGAGATGTAGGCGACACAGACATCAGTGACTCTGGCACAGTTCGCCTACACCCAGTTAACCTCCATCTCTAAAGTAATGTCTGTTCAAGTTAGAATTAAATTTCATTGTAGGACACAACAAAGAGCTTGTATTCTGAGTTGAAAAATGAAATTGCACACATTTTAAGAGGCCTCCCCTTAAGCCAGTATTTAGGTACTGGAGTGATTCTGTAAACCTTTTGCTGGGTGTCTGCAGACACTGTATTTATTTTTTGGATAGGCACAGAAAGAAATGAAAAAGAACAAAACATGCCAAAATTATTCACACCTTGGCATCCTTCCAGCCACAAGCTTTGAAAGTTGAGAACCCGCACCACAGAGAATCAGAGATGAAAGAATCCTTACTTTTGGGACTGTCCGGACTTCGCAGTGCAGCTCTCCCTTTGCCCTTCGGGGTTTTTAAACCATCTGAGAGGTACTGATGACCGCTTTCTCCTAGCTCCAGCCTTCGCTTGGCCTGGAATAAGAAAGTACAATCATTCGTCCCGATCATATGGACAATCACAAGAAGTGAGGCTGTTTGGAGCCCGGCCTCTGCCCAGGGCTCAGTGCTGCGGGCTCACACCTGCTCTTACACCTCTGCGCCGCTCACTCAGGTCTCACCGGGCCCCCACAGCCGGCGTTCTGGCTCTGGGGACTGAGCTGCCATGCAAACTCTGTCTTCATCTGCAGTGATCATCTGTGTATACTCAGATGGACAAATCCAGCATCCTTTACGATTAAGTCCAGGAGCCACTTTGTTCATTTATTCGCTGATTCAACACACGCACCAAGCACGGGGCTAGGCACTGGGAATAATACAGTAGGCACCAAGGAACTTAAATGAACGCCTCCCCAGTGAAACTTTGCTGCCTCTCTCCGTCTCTGACCTGGCTGGACCTCCTCCCTTGTGCTTCCCCAAACACTGTGTTTATTTGTATCATACCACTTATTGGATATGAGTTATTTTACTAATCTGGTTCTCATTTCCTTCCAGGCAGAGACTGTTTCCCATTTATCTTTGTATACCAAGTGCTTGGCACAGAGCCTGGGTTTCTGTAGGTATTCAATCTCTCTCCCTCTTTAAGTGATTGAATGGGAACACAGCTAGTCACAGACTACAGATGGTCATTCGTCAGAATAACAAATAGTGCAAACACCCCATCTTCAGCTTCAACTACTAATATTACCCTTGCCACTTTGTCATCAAACCTGGCAAATGAGAAGCTCTCACCTTAGCCTTAAATTTATTTGCATTTCACTTAAAAATATCCACTTAGTGTCTTCTATGTCCTGGGCACTGGGCATGGGGAACAGAAGGAAGACAGAGGAGTCCTAAACTACCTGGGGCACAGAGTCCACGAGCGAAGACAGAGTATTAAAGTAACCGTGTGGGTCTGATGGGTGCTCAGACAGAAGTGGCACCAACTAGACACTCCACATGGCAGTGTGTGTCTCAGCTCATTTTAAGGCAGGTTCTTCTAATGAGGAAATTCACAATTTCAAAGTAACTTCCCATGAATAGAAACGAAAGTAACAACTTATCAGCTGATGATAAACATTCGGTTTCTCTACAGAAAGGTATCAGCAGTTTGGATTGCCCACTGCAGTAAGCAGCTGCCACACATGACTCATCTGAACTGACTTGGGCTATAAATTTTAAATGCTCACTGGATTTTTGAAGATAGTTAAAAAAAGGGTAAAATATCTTAATAATTTTAATACTGATGATATGTTAAAATAAGTTTGTTGGCTTTATAAATAAGATAGTATTAAAGTTATTATTTCTCCTCTTTCCGTTTTCTCTCTCTTTTTTTTTACCATGTGGATTACATCAGTGGCACAGATCACCTTTGTATTGCCTAACATTACTCTAAAGGCCTAGGAGTGACAATTCACCAGTTTGTTTTCTCAACTTCACTTCTCCCTCCCAAATGTTGTATCCAATCCCTGTGTAGTCCTGTTGTTTGGCTGGCCCAGCAGAATTCCCTCTTCATCCGGCAAATGCTCCGACTGCTCCTTGAGTGGTAACCTCCTCTCCCCCTCAGTCTAAGCTGCAGACAGGTGGCCCAGGCCTAGCTGGTCATCGTGGCCCCTTCTCCTGTACCTCGTCCCTTCACAGCACAGCGGCTGGTCGGGGTGGCACACAACCCAAGCTGGGCGAACAAAGGCCAACTCCAGAAGTTTTTCTGTAACTAATGGCAAGAAGATGGTGTACTTTCCCAGTAAAATTGACACGTGGAAGCTGGAAGCTACCTGAGAATGGAGCCTCTGCAGGGGAAAGCAGAGTGGAGAGATGGAGACAAAGGGGTCTGAGGCCACCGTTCAAAGCTCTGGATCAGGCCATACACACACTGGGGTCAACAACTGGTCTTCCCCAGACTTTTCAGTTACATTAGTCAATAAAATCTTTTTGCTTAAAGCACTGGGAGTCGAGAACCTGAAAGTGTGGTGTTGCAAGTGGCGGTGTGTGGGATTAGCTGAGCAGGGTGCAACATTGGGGCTGGCAGCCCTGCTGAAGAGTATAGCCGAGTGTGTGGGTCCCTTCTTGGGGCCTTCAAGAAGTGATCACTGATAGAGACAAGCCTCATTTGAGGCTGGCCTACCTAAAGATAGAGAAGAAGAGAGCTTTGTCATGGAGGCCTTTTTCTTTGTATAATGCAATCCAAGAAGGTAGACAGCTGTATTCTCTGCCCGTGCTACAGTCCACAGAAGGAAGGCAAATGGGAAAAGAGTGTGGGACCCCCAACTCTGTGGTCCACAGGCTGTACTCTCCTTGAACCTTCACAACAGAGAACCAACCACTGGCCAGCAGCCTGGGCAATACTAGTTTTGCTTCCCCATCTGAGGCTTTTGTTTCAAATTGCTCTGAGGCAAAGGCCTATGGAAGCAGTAAACCGATAGGCTAGAGATTCGCCAGAAATCCGTTGCTGAGAAACTGAGATGGAACTTTAAGGGCTAGGACTAGTCATGATGAGTGACTTTGGTTACCAAACACTAAGCTCTAGAGTTCAGCAAACCTACATACTAGATAGAAAAATCTACTAAATTTTAAAGGTGTTTGTATCAACAGAGAATCTTTATATCCAGAAAGCAAAAGGTCCATGGTGTCTCAGCCACTAAGACAACCACTGAGCCTATAAATGCACACCACAAAGATATGAGCTTTGAGAGGGTAGAATCCGAGGTAGCCATATTGACTCCACAAGCCAGAATTGAACTTATTGAATTGAGAGGTCTCCACCAAGTCTCCAAGTGCCAACCAACATTCATGCTGAGAAGACATGATGTGCTACGGAGGCAACCCCTGTGTTACTTTCTTCCTCCAAAGGATGTTTTCTGTTGGGTTTCCTTGTTACCTTTCCCCCACTGTCCAGTGAGTGGGGGCTGAACTTGCAGTTCCTAGATCTGAGGATGGGCGGAATAACTGGGCTCTCTTTTTGGCAAATGCTAATAATTTTGATATATAATAAAGTAGCATTACTTTTTTAAAAAGTGACTTTAGTTTTTTATTTATTGAATTGAGAGGCAGAGGAAGGGAGAAAGGGAAGAGAGAGAAAAAGCAAGAGAGAAGTATCAATTTGTTGTCCCATGTATTCGTGCACTCATTGGTAGATTCTTGTACATGCCCTGACCAGGATCGAACCTGCAACTCTGGTGCATTGGGAGGACACTCTAACCAAATGAACTACCTGGCCAGGGCTTGGAGCAGCATTACTTTAATTGGCAAATTCAAGAACACATCCATGGTAAGATACACAGAAACAAAAAAACTAGATGGGTGGATTTAAACAGTGCAGGTAGTCTCTGCCTACACCCCCTTGCCCTGGGAGAAGATGAAAAATCTCTTCTCTTGGTCATCTCAGCTTTTGGTTACTGTTAGGGTGAACCCCTTGCTGAACTGAGTTATTTGGTTTATAAACAGATTTCCTTATTACATGGCTCCTGAGCAGGAATCAAGGCTGCACAGAGGAGATGCTGTGCAGATCACCCACATGGCACCTTCCTGGAACCTCAGCCCCAACTAAGATCACATTCCTTGTAACAAAATAACAGGATTAATGGTCAGGCAGCCGAGCAGTGGGCTGTGGGGAGGGAGCACCATGGTTTCCACCTGCCTGACATCTGTTGCCTCCATTTTCTTCCCTTGGGGAAGGAACGTAGTCCACGTGGTTACTATGTTTCCAAGCCTGAAAACAAAAGATCTAATGATATTGCTCAACATCTTAAACTGACCCTTCCCATCCTGGTTACAAGAAGTAATCGGGGCCTACTAATCAGTGCATTCCAGTCTTTTAACTAAGACGACCGGTTTAGAGATGGGCCCCATGAAAAAAGTGGAATGAACCACTCAATCCTGGGATTTTTGTTGAGAAGTACTGGGTTCTCTTCACCGGGAGATATTAGGCAGTAGGGTATAATCCTGGAGTTGCCTGGGAACTCAGCCAACATAGGAGAAAACAGAGTTAAGCACTGGAGAAAGGCTGAGTCCCAGTATGTTCAAGGGAGGTGCTAGATTGAGGCATGCCCAAAGGCAGTCCTATCCTAGACTTCCACTTGTGTCAGCCAACAAACTCTCTCCCTTTTGTGTTAGGAGACAACTGAGTTATATTACTACCCCTGGCAACCAGGAGCCCGGACAGGTATGGCCCTTTAGCATTAACTATCACACAATGAACATTGAGTGCTTACCATATATTATGCACCACGTTAATTGCTTTCCAAATAATTGTTATCTCATTTTCATACAACTTCATGAAGTAGTTGCTATTATCTCTGATTTTACAGGAGAAAACTAAGGTTTAGTGTTTAAATAACTCTTCCAAGAACACGTGGCCAGTAAGCATGCCTATACCAAAGTCCATGCTTATAACCAGTTTATATAGAGTTTATTATATTGATACCATCTTACTTTATGATTACATGTAAAGACTTTTATTTTCATAATAAAAAAACTTTCCCTTAAATAAATGGTCATGGTAATCCAAACAGTACAAACAGATATATATAGAAAACATATTTTCTCCTAATCTTGAACCCTAATTCCCTTTCTTAAAGGCAAGTGCTATTAAGTTACTTTGACATGCTTTTTGATAGTCTATGTAAATACACATACCACACCTTTAAAAACTGTATACAAATGGTAGCAAACCACATACTATTCTTACAACACACTTCAGGGTTTGAGTACTGTCACCATACTTAGAATGACCTTATTTTTCATAGCTGCATAGTACTGTATTACTATACCATGGCTTCTTTACTTAGTGAGGAACGTACTTGGCTGGGGTGTCTTTAACTTCCCTAGGAACCTAGCATTGAGGGCGGGCTCTGGGTAGCTACTCTACCACCACCTGCTCAAGACGGTCCACCTGGATCCCAAATAGCAAGGATGCAAGAACATGAGCTTCTGGAACCCGGGAATCTTAAGCAGAAGGTCAGTGAGAGGTATTCCTCAATGTAAACAAGTCTCCTGAA